TTGCAATTTGTGGCATGAAAATAAAACAAGTGGTAATTAAGAAAAATTCAGTTTAGCAGGAGGGGTAATTAGTTGCTATTGAGGCTTCCATGCTATAGAAGGAGTGCATGTGTTAACTTTGTTTTCATCCTCAAAATTTTGACGACAAGGCGCCCTAACCTAATTCTGGCTCTACTCAGTACTGTCTTCATTCCTTTCCAGGCTGTACTTCTGACTTGGCACAGGACATTGTCTACCATGCCATAGAAAAACCTCTTCATTCTGGAAGCTTCTTCTACTAACGTACTGTTTCTTACATTGGAAGTACTCTTTTATAGTAGAAAAGAATTGGATTTTGTGGTGGAAAAGAATCAGAATTTGAGGGGATGCTCATCAATTAGGGACTGGCTGAACAAATTGTGGCAGATGACTGTGATGGACTACTACTGAGCTATAAGAAACGAAAAACAGCATGCTTTCAAAAAAACCTGGGAAGACTTACATTAACTGATGCAAAGCGAAGCGAGTAGAAACAGGAGAACATTTGACACGGTAACAGCAACACTGTAAGGATGAATGACTGTCCTAACTTAGCTAGCTCTCATCAAGACAATGATCCAAGACAATTCCAAAGGACCCACGGTGAAAAATTCTAACCACCTCAGGAGAAAACTGGTGAGTTCTGAGGGAAGACTAATGCATACTCTTTTGCTTTCTTCATTTTTCTTGGGGACTGTTGTACGTTCTCTTTTGCAATATAGCTAATATGGGAAATAAGCTTTGCATACTATCACACGTATAATTGATATCATATTGCTTGCCTTTTCAAGGGGTGTGGGAGGGGCTGGAGAGGGGGAGAGAATTTGGAACTCAAAATTTACAAAAAATGAATGTTAAAAAATTTTTACATGTAATTGGGAAATATTCAATGAAATAAGTAAATATATGTATGTATGTATGTATGTATGTATGTATATGAGGAAGTACTCTCTGCTCCTGTCTACCAGCTGGTTCCTCCCAGAACCCCCATTTTAAGAAGGTGTAGATCAATCTTTTTTCATACCTCTCCATGGTGCACTCTTGACTTTCTACAGAACCTTCTCTCCCATGGCTTGGCAATGAGTTATCGCTGCCTCCACCCTCACCCCACACCCCTGCCTTGTCAGCTTTTTATGTGTTGTCTTCCCCCATTAGATGGTAAGCCCCTTGAAGGCAGGGATTGTCTTTCTGCTTGTATTTGTACTCCCGGTGCTTAGCGGAGTGCCTGGCACGCACTGAGCACGTACTACACACTTGTTGACTTGACTGTGTGAGGCACTGGGCAGAATACAGAAGAAGACACAGTCCCACCCTCGAGAGCCTTATGATCTTCCAGAAGCCTAGTGGACAGAACGCTGCACTTGGAATCAGGAAGACTTAGGTCCAAATCTCACCTCTGACACCAATTAGTTTTTTGGCCCTGGATAGGTCACTTTCATCTGCAAAGTGAAGGGTTTAGACAGCTGGCCTCTAAGATCCCTTCTAGCTCCAGAACTATGATTGAATGAACACAAACACACACAATATCTAAGGTCCCTTCCAGTTTACAAAAACAAACAAACAAACAACAGCCAACTAATCAATAAGTTACAATCAAGTCCTAAGTTTCATGTGCAGAGCTTAAGGGCAACAGGAATTCAGCTGAAGTCAACAATCTATTGACAAGATTTATTAAATAACTTCTGTCTGAAGGGCACTGTGGTAGGCCTGGGGAGGGGGGAGATACAAAGTTTAGATAAGACTTTATCTTTCTTCTTTCCGGTGCTTCCAGTCTAGTGGGAAGATAAGATGCAGAGATAAAAATCACGTGCAATCAAAAGTGCATCAGTGAGTTACACAACGAGAAGTCTGAATGGGAAAGGTCGTTACTGACCGGGAAGCGTTCATGATGGACGTGGTGACTGAGCTGTGGCTTTAAAGTGAGGACCCAGAGGTAGAGGTAGGGAGGAAGATGGCAAAGGGCCTGAGAGTAAAGGCTGAAGAAGCAAGTGAGCACAAGCATGGTGGGTGGGGAGGAGGAGAAGGCAGTCCAGAGTAGCTGAGTGTAGAGGTCGGGGGGGGGGGGAAGTGTGAAATGTGGCTGGAAAGACTGAGAGAGTTCAGAAAAGGGAGATATCAACGACGGCTAGAGTGTTGGGGGGAGGGGGTTCACTGATGATGAAGGCCTTGACAGGTCCAAATAGAGCCCACATTCCTGTTTTTAATTAGTTTTTTCAACTAACAAGCATTTATTTTCTTTCCCTCCCACTATCTACCACTTAAAAAAATACCTTGTAACCAATACGCATAGTCAAGCAAAACAAATTCATACATTGGCCATGGCCAAAAATAAGAGAGATGCCGTTTGCCTTTGAATCCTACCCAAGAATGGCTAGCTAGGGCAAGGTTCCACCGTACCAAAACATCCCATTCAGCGTTACAGGGACTGTCCACGCTCACCCCATAACCACAGCTCATCAGTCACTCTTCAGGTATGGACACAATGTAATTCTTCAGAAAAAAAAAAAGAGTAAGGGCCTGGGGGATTCACTGTAGATCTAACTTTGTAGAATATTCAGCTAATCGTATTAATTATCTTGACTTCATTGAAGTTCAGAGCTATGTCCACTGAGATGCTGTACTCTTTTGAAGACTGAAGCAGGGGATTTGCGTAGACAGATACACTCAGGTTTGGTCAGACACATGGGGAGGAATGACGCCCTCTGCATCATGTGTACTCACCGCAAGGCCCGTAGCAGATGCTTGCTGGCGGTTTGCCCCAGGGCTGACCAAAATCTTGGTCCTCTTCGTACCAACCAGGGAACTACGAATTGATTTGGGGAAGACTGGGGGCCTGTACTTTAGGGATCTGATGATAGAACCTCAACAGCCTCTCTGCTTGCTCCCATACCAGGAAAGCCTCACAGAATGACCAGCAAGGCCAACTGAGAGCCCACTTCTGGTCTTGGATGAGAGCACCATTTAAGTAAGAGTTAGCAATTTTACACATGCATTTGAGGGTTTCTTAAATGTGAAAATCTGACCGCAGATTATCATCACACAAATCAGAAGCAGCATGGTGCTACAGAATGAGCCCTGGAGAAACTGGGTTCAAATCCCACTCCTGTCACTTACCACCTGTGTGACAATACGCAATTCATTTAACCTCCTCTGGTCTTGGTTTCCTCATCTGCAAAAGGAGAGGGTTGGGCTAAATGACCCCTAAGAGCTCTGTAATCCTATAAACTACTTGGTCAACCTGGGTAGCAAAAACCAGACATATTCCATTTACTGAAAAGCCAATAATAAAATCACAAAATAAATAGCATATAATCTGCCCTAATTGTATAAAAGCAGGGTAAACAAGCGCTATGTAATCCTGAACTGAGAAAGCAGGCTCTTGTGTGGAAATAATTTAAGGAAATGGATATACCGGAGAGATGAGGTAGAAACCAGGGTCAGCTTACACTGTTTTCCTGGCTCTGTTCTTAACTCGGCTTTTCCAGCTGAGTTAGAAACTGAAGCAGGCTGGACTCACATGTGTGTTCAAACAGCATGGGGGTGGAGGGTGTGCATTCACCCTCATGTCAAACCAGCTGTGCAGGTAGGTCCTGAGTAGAAGACCATGAGGATGTCCCATATCCAGTAAGAAGGTGCTGACAGAGATGACAGAGCACCTTGGCGCAGAGAACACCGCAGGAGTGCCTGACAAGATGCAGGCATCTCTCACTTGCGAAGAAGAAGGCCTCTGTCCAATTCAGGTCCCCATCCAGTCCTTCCATGCTGGTGCATCGACAGCGAAACTCCTAAATTGTGTGTTTATGTATGTGCATGCATATGTAATAATGTATATGTGTATTTTTCCTAATGTTGATTTGGCTCCTAAATGAATATAAGATGTTGTCATGTATTTTATGTTTCCCAAGGAAGAGGAATTTATGTCCATTCCTTCATGCCTAATTTTCTCTCACAAGTAAATATTAAACACAATTGGAAATGTATATGGACATCACAACTTTTCAGCCTCCCTATGGTAACTGTACAGTTTCACCAGCAGAGCTTCTACAGCAGTCAGGCCATTTGTTGTACTACTAATAAAAAAAAAAACAACAACTACAGAATAAAATGTATCTGCATGCAGCTCCTGCTGAAAAGTTCCCCAAACAGCCAAGTACTGCCCTATCCAGTTCTGTACTGTGATCAACGAAAGAGTCCTAGGAAAATCTACGCCAGAATCACAGAATCCACTGGCCACCATCAATAAGCATTGACTGAGTGCCCATCGTGTATCTGCTCGGTCCCACTACCTCAAAAATCATATTTCATCTCCAATTCCAACCGGTCTCCCTGCTCAAAATAATTCATATTGAATGAATGTGTCCAGATGTCGCTGTAATTGATCATTTCTGTTGGGGAAGAAATGACTCGCTGGCTCGCCCTTTCTTGCAGAAACATCCTCTCCACGGAGTATTCTGTGGCTAGGAGATCCAGAAAGCACAGTCTATGCCCCATTTATTCTGCAAATGGCAGGCACAGTTCTCACCAGAATGACTGTATGTGAATCCAGGCTCTATTCAGAATGTTGTGTTCAAAGCAAGAGCTTTCCACAACCAGCACTTTTTTGTTAACAAACCGAAAGCAAATTCCATGAACATGAGACATTTCTCTCCAGGCATCTGGAACCTTCTGGAAACCCCCTTCCCCTTTTGCAAGGCAGATCCCACCATCACAAACAAATTATCACCACTGGCCTCTTCAAACTTTAAAGCTCTGAGGGAAGAAAAGAGAAGCAAAGAGTGATGGCTTCTTTATTTTCTCTCTAGTTCCATTGCCTCCAACTGGCAACACCTCACTGAACGTTGGTCTGACTTTTCTATTCAACACATCCACCGCCAAATATCATATGGCACAAGAGACTACCAACATGATGGCAAATGCATTATCCACACCAGCCACAGTAAATAAAAGCACAACCTGTATATTAGGAATCAAACTCTACTTACAATCTGGTTAACTTCAGGGTGTTCTGGAAAAGCAATTCTGGAAGGACTTGTAGTTTATTCTTGTTCAAACGCCTAAAGATAAAAAATAAACACAGAATACAAAGAACCATTAAGGAAATGTCCACATAAAAGGAATCTGGTATAGCCATAGATTCCATATCAACCATTAGTAATAAAAAATTAACAAGTAATTATTGAATACCTCCTATGTGCCTAGTCTAAGCTAGGCCCTATAAGAATGATACAGTCATCATACCCAAAGAACTTGCAACCCAGTGGCAGAAATAAGACACAGCTACACCAAGATAAATGGCAGCATAAGGCAGTATATTATTGTTATTGTTGTTGTTCAGGAATTTCAATTGTGTCTGATTCGTCTTGGGGTTTTCTTAGGCAAAAGCCTGGAATGCTTTGCCATTAACTTCTCTAGCTCATTTTTATAGATGAGGAAACTGAGGCAAACAGGATTAAGTGACTTGCCCAGGAAAACATAGCTACTGTGGCTAGATTTGAAGTATATTATCAATGTCAAATGAAGGAGATAGCTTGGGGTAGTAGAAAGATCACTGGATTTGCAGTCTGAAGTTTTGAGTTAATATATGAACTTTGTTACCTGCATGAACAGGGACAAGTCACTTAGCATCTCTGGGCCTTGTTTTGCATTTTTAGAATGATGGAGTTGGCTCAGATTCACTAAGATTCCTTCTAGTTCGAGCTCCTATAATTCCTTAAGTGCAACCAACAGTAGATATTACATTCATTCAAAAGATGGAACTATCTCTGTGGGCTGGAGTAGTCCTCATGGACTTGGGCTGAGCCTTGAAGGCTGATGGAAGGCAGTTTAGGCGACATTTACAAATCCTCCTTAGCTAAAGTAGGAAGTTCTTGTTTCTTCATTTAGAAAATGGTGATGGTAATAATACACTATCAGCCTTACAAAGGCACTGTAAAATGTGAGTTCTTTTGCTAATGATGATGGTAAAATATTTGGACATAAGGTTGGAAAGATACTTTAAGCTCTGATTTTGGAGGGCCTCGAATGTTTAGCAAGAATAAAATTGAGAATACAAGCCGTTCCCCAATTGATAAACGGTCAAAGGATATGAACAGGCAGTTCTCAGATGAAGAAATCAAAGCCATCTATAGTCATATGAAAAAATGCTCTAAATCATTATTGATTAGAGAAATGCAAATCAAAACAACTCTGAGGTACCACATCACACCTATCAGATTGGCCAACATGACAAAACAGGAAAATGATAAATGTTGGAGAGGATGTGGGAAAATTGGAACACTAATACATTGTTGGTGGAGTTGTGAAATGATCCAACCATTCTGGAGAACACTTTGGAACTATGCCCAAAGGGCTACAAAAATGTGCATACCCTTTGATCCAGCAATAGCACTTCTAGGGCTATATCCCAAAGAGATCAAACAAATGGGAAAAGGACCTACATGTACAAAAATATTCATAGCAGCTCTTTTTGTGGTGGCAAACAATTGGAAATTGCGAGGATGTCCATCAATTGGGGAATGGCTGAGCAAGTTGTGGTATATGAATGTAATGGAATACTATTGTGCTATAAGAAATGATGAACAGGCTGACTTCAGAAAAACCTGGGAAGACTTATATGGTCTGGTGCTGAGTGAAGTGAGCAGAACCAAGAGGACTTTGTATACAATAGCAGCCACGTTATGCAATGACTAAGAATGCTAAATTGAACCCTTCTCAGCATTAAGAGGATCTAAGACATCTCCAGAGGCCTCGGGATGGAAAATGCTGTCCACATCCAAAGAAAGAACTGTGGAAGTCGAATCGCTGTCACTTATTTTTACCTTCAGTTGAGTTTTGTTTCATCTTTCTGATGGTTCCTCCTATTGATTTTCATTTTTACTTACAACTTCACTAATGTGAAAATATGTTTAATGGGTATGTAAATGTAAAGCCTATGTCAGATTGTGTGCCATCTTGGGGGGGGGGAGAAAAAGGGAGAAAAAATTTTCAACTCAAAAGCATATGGAAAAAAAAATTTAAAAAAAAAGAAAAAAAAAGAATAAAATTTGTTATCCTGCAGGCCATGAAGAAGTCTTCCATCATCGCTCATCCTGATGAAAGTGATGATTAAGAAGATTAAATTGGTGGCTTCCCATATCCAAGAACCCTATGATACATGTAAATTGCATTAACCATGAATAACTATGACCCCAGTCCTTGCCACAGCTAGACTTTAACCTAGAGCTAATGAGATCTTGGGTTGCATTAAGAGAGATATAACTTCTAAAACATAGAGAAATGGTAGTTCCACTGCCCTGATTGGACCACATCTAGAAAAGCATGATCAGTTCTGGGTGCCAATACCTCAAAAGCAACATTGTTGAACTGGAGAGTTCCCAGATAAGGCAAAGAAGATGATGAAGGGCCTTGGACCCATGTTATGAGGGCTGGTGGAAGATACTGGGCATATTCAGTTGGGAAAAGAGGACTCAGAGTAACATGATAGCTGTCTTCAAGGACTTGTAGAGGCAGGATTAGACTGGTTCTGTTTGGTCTGAGATGGAACAACCAGAAGCAATGAGAGGAAGTTGCCAAGAGGTCAGTTTGGGCTTGATGTTGGGGAAGACTTTCCTAACAATTAAGGACAGCCTGCTGCAGGAGGTGGCAGGCTTCTCCTCATTGGAGATGTTTGAGGAGATACTTGAGGATAATTGTTAGGTATGTTAGACTGGGGTGTCCTTCCTTGTCAGGTAATTTACATATGGGATGGAGGGAATGATAGATGAGGTCCCTTCCAACTCTAAAAATCTGTGATTCTGTAAACACAAGAGTTGAAAATAGAGATGTCAAAAATGCTGTTTGCAACACTACTGAGTGCACCATATTAAGGTCTAATTGGGAAATAGTTACCAAAATAACAAAGCTAACATCACATTTTTCATGTAAGTCAATATGCGGCCTGTAGGTGTCCTCAGGTACAGAATATACATCTCCCCCCCTTTATATTGGAGTTTGACTCCAGTGGTTTAAAAAATGAAAACTGCTTTTAATAAATACCTGTCCCATACTCACTAATGTCAACAACATTCCCAGGACAATGCAATACTGCCGGGACCACCCTCTATTCTGTCATGACAGTTGCTTATTTGGCTGAAACTAATTTCAATTAATCACTTTTTTTTTTGCCCAAACCTGTGATTCTATTAGTATGTAGTGGAACCTACATACTAGTGTGGAAACTCCATCCACTAATTCAAATTGGCAACTCTTCTATAACTAATAATAACTATAACTAATAACCTTAATAATAATAACTATAACTAATCATCTTAAAGGGTAAGGCCTGGAGCATCAAAAGATTAAGTGACTTGCTCATGGCCATAATGCATATATTAGAGACAAGATTTGAATTTAAGTCTTTATGATCCTAAGAATAGCCCTTTAGCTGCCACCCCACCTCAGTCAATTCATCAATTAAACAGGTATTAACAAAGAGCACACAAAACCCTGTCCTGGGTATTATGGGGGATGGATAAAAGTAACACATGCAGAGTGTGTGTGTGTGTGTGTGTGTGTGTGTGTGTGTGTGTGTGTGGCACACACACATTTTTCTATTTGGACCAGACCTATGATTTTTTATATTATATTATTTTATTATTATGAGAACTACAGATAAGAGCCATCCTCTGCCAATGCCAGAAAGCATCTTCTCTGAGACTAACAACGTTAGCGAGTAGCTTAGAGAACTAGGAGTTTAACCCAGTATATGTCACAGGTAGGACTGGAATCTATTTCTTCCTGAATTCAAGACCAGCTGTCTATCCACCATGGAACACTGCCCACTCCCACAACACATGTTAATCTATAATGTATCCAATGAGTAGCCTTTACAATAAATGATACTGGTATTCACATCAATTTTTAAAACCCTACATCAATTCGTGTTATAATAAGGTACACAGATTCCTCTGAAAGACAATGTAAGTTCCTTTTCCTATGAATTCACTACTTTCAGCATCATGGTCTTAGACAAATGCCTAGGCCTACCTGTGCTGGTGGCCACTTAATTATTTACAAGATTGTTAGCTTTACCTCTGGGATATCTTCATATCAGGCTTGTGGATGATGAAAGAAGAGGCAAACTCTAGGTTAGAGTTTAGCTAGGCATGAACTGGGGCCTTTCTCTGCCAAGAAATGTTTATAGACACAGCCAGGTCATGTGGCTCCCATCTTGGGTCTGCAACACTTTCAAGAATCTCTTCCAGAAGGTGTCTGGTTTTTATCTCTGGCTCCCCGCCTCTCCTCTCTCTGTGTCTCTCTCTGTTTCACCCCCTCCATCCCCCAACTCTCAGCATGTTGGCTGAGAAGAGCACTGAATCTTCCAAACACCATGGGAGTGCTGCCAGCCTCCCCCTTGCATGCCTCCTGCAGTCTCAAGTGGGAAAGTAAGGAAGTTATGTGTCTGATGCTTGATTTGAGAGCGCAAGAAACACGGGGACAGAGAGAAGGGAAAACATAATCTGTACAGGACAACTGCGTTATACCCATTCAGTTCACTTCTCCTGGGCTCGGGAGAGGACAAAAGATTTGTTGTCTCTGTCCCAGGTGAGGAGCTAAGAATAGAGGGGCATTCATGACCTTGGGGAAAAATCAGGGGCTTCTGTCTTACTTTTGAGGGTTGTTCTCCCTTCTAAGGCTTTGCCTCTGGAAATCGATCAGTCAAGCATGTATTGAGCATTCATTATATGCAAAGCATTTTGATAGGCGTTGTTGAGGAAATGTTTGGATTTCTTCCCTAGAAAGAAGGTACAGTCTGCACTATCAAAGTACTTAGCTATCCATTTAAACGAGGGGTTCTTTGTTTTTAAATTAAATTTTTCAACTGTCAAGTATTTTTCCTTTCACACGTCCCTCACTATGAAAAAAAAAGAAAATAGAAGAAAAATAAAACCTTTGCAACAAACAAGCATAATCTAGCAAAAACGAATTTCCACAATGGCCATGTCCAAAGATTCATGCCTTATTCTGCACATCAGGCCCCTGCCTCTTTGTCAGGAGCTGGGCAGCTTGCTTCACC